AATTCTATTCTCTGTCCATAACATGTAAATGTTCAGTGGCAATAAAGCAAACAAACAAACTCTCTCTCTCTCTCTCTCTCCAACTGCAACCATGGAGGCGATGGGTGGTTCATTTCATCTCTTCATCTCCGCTGGTTTTGCTATAGCAAGGTGGACCGCCTGCATGCCCGCATGTTGCACGGGTAAAAACAATGACTGATTTTTTGCGAAGAATGGAATTAAACTTTGAGGAACTTCCATATTTTTAGAAAAACTGCTGATTAAAAGTTTAGAAAAATTCTCACAATTTTGAGATTTTTTTCAAAATCCGGAGCCTTTTCCCTTTAATTGTGGGAGCTGCACAAAGTTGTACCACCCTTCCCTCGACAAATCAGACATTGTTTTAACCGGTGTGCTGCGCGTGTCCCTGTGCCACTGCGCTGCGCTCGCGCCAAAACGAACCGACATGCAGAACCATTTGTCTCGCCGGGAGCGGCCTGTGTGTTGTTCGAGCGAGAGAGATGAAGCGTTTTCAAGAGTCGGCCCGGCTCGGCTTGGCTCCGCTCAGCCCGGCCTGGTCCTGGTCACGCAGAACTCCCATCGGGGGTTTAATATATATATTAAAGCGGCGGACGAAACCACCATCTATAATGCGATCTGCACGTCCAACCTGATCATCAACTAGCATCATCAATAAACAACCATCTCGTTATGAAGGAGCAGAAAGAAAAAAATATTGTCGTCTACGAAATAATTGATTATTAACCGATTATTTTTTTTACCCTTTACTTATCGTTTTTAACCAGTCATCACGAATGGATCAATTTTCCACAGACTGATTGATCATTAACCAATTCACCCCTCCCGACCCCTCCCTTCCGTCTCCTCATATCACCTTCGTTAAGCCCCCCCCCCCACCTGCAGGCTGCAGTAGCTCTCGTGCGTGTCACTGGGCACGCCTACAGGCACGCCTCGCACGGTCACGGCCCGCGGGTCCACGCACGCGAGAGCGGAGCGCACGCGCGAGCACGGGGTGATCGGAGGGGCTGCCGGGCCCGCCGGGCCTGTGCCGTAACTCTGTGCTGTCATACGCGCTGCACTCGAGGTTACTACTTGAACGTCCCAAAAGTGTGGTAACGTGCGTTATGACGCGAGCCGGGCTGGGGAGGTTGGGGGGAGGTTGCGTTTTGGGTCACCGCACCGCAGCAGGCGAGCAGGCAGTCGGAGGCAGTAGGGGACTCGGGTTTTGGATTGCAATGCGCAAAGAAAATTAAGAAATACTGTCCGCGATGTCACCGCAGCGCTGATGATGCGGGGTATCTGACACTGACACTGCTGAAACGCTCTTGTGGAAATGAGGTGAGAGATTTTTTTTTTTTTCTTTTTTTTTTTTAAAGGTGGAGAGGTCACCACTGTTGAATGCAATTTTGGCATCAGCACATAATTTTGGTTCTGTGCTGATGGAAATGTATAACATTGTAAGGTGAGAAAAATTTTCAATTTCCATTGGAAAAGCTAACGTGACGTGCGTCACATATTTCTTGATGCACTCACTCCACTCCATGCAAAAGAATAGTAGGGGCATCACAGGGAGAGTGCATTAGGAAACGTTAGTAACGTTAGTTCTTCCAGTGTCCACATGAAACGTTTATGTGAGGTGCTTTCTGAAAACCAATGGCATTGCCCCAGGTTACTGAGCCGTTTGTTCTATGATCAGCAGAATACCCAGGAGGACAGGGGAGGTTGTCGGGGGGAAGGGGGGATGAGTCGGCACTGTGCGAGTCCTGCACCAGCGGGGCCCTTGACCGAGCTGAGAATGAGAGAGAGAAAGAGAGAGAGAGAGAGAGAGAGAGAGAGACGAATCCTCGCCCTCGGTCGCGCGCTCGTCTCTCTCCCACTCTGGCTGTGAATCGTTCGCACTCTATCGAGCTGACTCGGCGTTTTGCCGCCCGGAGCTGCGCACGACTGCTCCGAGTGCTCGTTGGGCCCCAGTGTGACCACAGTGTGGTCGCCAGCCGTGCTGGGTCCTCGTCATGGCCCCAGGAGCCCCAGGCCCAGGCTCTAACGAGGCTTAATCGCTCACATTCACTGCCCGCCTCTTTGTATCTGCCTGTCCCGACTCCTCTGTGGTCGCGACGGCGGCCCCGCGGCCCCCTTGCCTGCCGCGCTACCCCGCGGTCGCGGGCCCCGGCCGTGGAGTAGAGACGCCCTCGTGCGGATCCCCTGCTACGGAGTTGTTCTCACACTTCGCCTGTTGACTGTGTGTTCCAGGTCCGACGCCGCAGCAGTTCCTGTTCCTGGAGACGATCCAGGAGGAGACGTCCGACGACCTCCGCAGCGAGTCCAGCCGCTCCTCGCACGCCGGCTGGCCCGAGAGCGACTCCGACGCCGGCTCCGTCATCCACATCGCCGCCACCTACCATGGTGAGTCTCTGGGCGCGCCGGGTAGCGCCGCGGGGCAGCCGCGGGGCGGGCAGGGTATCGCCGGGCCGCCTGAGTGGTAGGCAGCGCGGTCACAGGGCCGCGGGCCTGTTGCCTACCTGCCGGGCGCCCTACTCGTGGAGGGTGTGACGGGTAGGCAGCGCGGTCACAGGGCCGCGGGCCTGTTGCCTACCTGCCGGGGGCCCTACTCGTGGAGGGGGTGTAGGCCTGACGGGTAGGCAGCGCGGTCGCAGCGCCGCGGGCCTGTTGCCTACCTGCCGGGCGCCCTACTCGTGGAGGGTGTAGTAGGCCTGACAGGTAGGCAGCGCGGTAGCAGAGCCCGTGGGCCGCTTCGCTAGCCTAAACTTTTAAAATCATCCTTTCAATTCGTTTTCCAACAAATTTCTAAAATAGTCTTTACTACTTTAACTTGAAATGTGCGCCACGGTCTCTGTCCCTGTCCTGTAGCACGACCCGACGTGTTCTAACGAAAATGATCATTCTCATCTTTCAAACCATATTCTTAACTCGATATTTATTACCGCTCATGCCTCCTCACCCTGAGCACAATTTTCGTCAGCCGCCGCGCCGAATCCTCTCGGCCAAGTCTTTGTTGTTGGCCCTATAGCGGCCGAGGACAGCGGATGGGACGAATGGGGAAGTCACTACGCTACGCAATGCGGTGGGATTGTCCGTCCATGTCCCGTCCCGTGGCGTCCCGTGTCCCTCCCAGGGCCGGAGGATACTGGTGGGCGCGGGTGTGCGAAGGCCGCGAGGCCAAAAGCGGGAAATAAACAAAATGTATCTCAGCAGGAAATTGCACCACCAATGAAGTTGGGTCCCCCTCTAAATAGAGCCCCGCAAAGAGCGAGCTACGCGAGCTAAATGCCTACCCCGACCCCCCTCTCACCTGTCGAAGAAGGGGTCTAGCTCGCGTAGCTCGCTCTTTGCAGGGCTCTACCTCTAAAGTAGCAGACAAGTTCCGAAACATGACGACGCTCCGTCACTTCACGGCACAAACCACCTTCAAACCGTGGGAAATATTTCTGACTAGGTTCCCTGTCAAATATTTATGGAGGTGTTCCTGACCGTGTGTGGCGGGCCCGCTGCAGCGGGCTGCGGGCGGCGGCGGCCCGGCTGCACAGCGCCCAGCACGGCGCCCAGCACAGCCTGCACAGGTGCGATATGATGAGCTCACGCGCCCGACCGACCGTGTCGGGGACAAGAGATAGAGAGAGAGGCAGTGGGACAGAGGGGTGCTGCTGAATGGGTAGCTCGTTGGGCCTCGCGTTGTGCTTTTGACTGCAAAAGTACACAGCTCAAAAAACTGCAAAAAAAACAGCGAGCATTTGGCTTGTCCCCGTAGTTTTCTGTGGCTCGGTGATGATGTGACTGTGATATTGGCCCGGGCCCGAAAGTGAGCATTGGACATAGTAGTGACACATCCCCGGCGGTGTCGAAAGTATTTTCGCTCTCTGTGTCCACCCCTCCCCCCCCCCCCCCCCCCCCCCCCCCCCCCCCCCCCCCCCCCCCCCCCCCCCCCCCCCCTCTCTCTCTCTCTCTCTCACACACACACACACACACACAGTAAAACGACATAAGCCACAGCACGCTTTATTTGCCCTCTTTCTTTGCACACTGACCCAACAACAAACACACACACAAGCTCACACCTACATACAAACACCGCAGGCGACGGGATACACACTCACACACACAGAGGAAGTTGCAGGGTACTGTTCCCCCTTCCTTCGCCACCCCCCCCCCCCTCTTCGCCCCGACTTGCTTTGAGGTTTCTAGTTAACCGCCACCCCTCCCTTCCCCACCTCCTCGCCTGCCTATCCACCCCCACTACACCGACAGCCTCAGCCTATACATACGTACTGCTTGTCCTGTTGGAAACATTTTGTTCAGGGTAACACAACACAACTACCCCCTCATCCGTAGACTACCTCCGCCCCTCCCTCTTCTATACCTCCACCCCCACCGACGGTAAAATTAAAGTAAAGTGTAGTAGGTTATTAAATCCCCTGTTTACTTCTTATGCCGCCGACCAGAGCAAGGCCTGTGTGTGTGTACCCCTGCCCCCCGTCACTTCCCGCACCAGGGGGGTCAGACTCACCACATGGCCTACCCCCCCC